CCACCATGGCTTTCAAAGTCTAAAGGAAATGAGAAAGAACACTATTGGAAGAGCACTTATGGGGGAATGGGGAAAAATGATTCATGTGCTCTCACACACCCGCCTGGTGGGGAGAACATATGTAGGGTCGAAAGCTTGGATAAGCTTCCTGAACCCTGTGTCCTCCACAAAACTGAAGGGCTGGCAATCTTCAATCACCATATTGATTAATGCCTCTTCCACTGCATTCTTATTCACTGCAGTTTAACAGAGACAGAGTTCATGATAGATGTCTTTCATTTCATCTGTCACATTTGAAATACACATGGTAGGCTATGCTGTTCTTTCATTGCATGTTAAAATGCCTTACCTGGGGGTGGTTCTGTTTGAGTTGTCTCCTTATTTTCATGCAGGGCCCTATAATGCCTCAACATAGACGACGTGCTCTCTTGGTACCCAAGTTCTTTGGAACAAAGTTTCCACTTCACCTTTTGAAATATCAGCAAGTAGAAGAAAGACATTAGAATGAGGGATGCACTGTGCTGTCACAATAATTTACAATATATATTCACACTGGTTATAATTTGTACCTTTTTAGGAGAGATCTGCTCAAAATGATCCCAGACAGGGGATGTTCTCTTCTTATTCGTTGTGGGTGGTGGGGTGCGTCCAAAGCTGTCCATTGTAAAACGAATCGGAATGAGTTGAGGTTTGGAGATGCGAGTTGAGTGTCAGCGTCACCTGTGAGCTCATTATCGTCCCGGTGCGCTGAATTTATTTCGATTCACCCGCGAAACTATTTGTTGGCGGTGACGTAGGAATCCCGTCCCGCGAGGCTTCGGGCGGAGCAACGCGCGTTCCGAGGTATCGGGCGTGGCCACAAACGGAATCGACACACGCCTCGGTGCGCGCTTCGCAGATTTTCTTCCGGTTTACTCGGCACACGCATCGGAACCTCGGCACAGTCAGGCACATCACTACCAGACTGCCTCCTTCTGTTCAGTCATTCTTTCAAACATTTGGTAGGTACTGTTCCATCGTGTTGGCACCTCGTTTATTAATTTATGGACCGGTGTTCCCAGCTGTTGCTGTATTTGAGTGAGCTTCTCTTTAGCAGTCACGCTCGATCGAAAGTATGTCACAATATGTCGTGTTCTGTTGCGTATTTCTGTTATTGTTGGGATTTGATCACATGATTTTCTCACAATTAAATTCATGGAATGAGCGATACAAATTCTATGCCGTATTTGCAGCATTCAAGCACATGAAAATATGTTTGCTGCTGCATCAGTGACAAGACACCTGACCTTTCCTGCTATGCCCCACTCCTCCATGAGGCTCCTTTTAACCGCGGCAATGTTTTCTGCAGTATGTTTCTCTGGAAAATGGTGCACTCCCAAGACAGATGATTGGAGTTCATGGCTTTCTTTGTCCATATAGTGGCCAGTCACAGCTAGATATGCCTCCATATTCATAGATGTCCACATATCAGCTGTTAGAGTAACAGCAGTGGCGCTCTGAAGGTCCTTTTTTGTTTTCTCGTTTTCCTCCTCATATCTCTGGCTCACCAAGTCCTTGATGGTCTGAAAATAACCATACAAATACTGTTTAATCAATAAAATATACTTTTATAGTTAATACAAAAATATAATATGACTTAAACATACCTTCCTGCTTGGTAGAGCATACGAGGGCATAATAAGCTTCAGGAGCTCCCTGAATCCCTTATTCTCAACAATGCTGAGTGGCTGACAATCTTTGATAATCATGTTGACCACTGCCTCATCCACTGCTTGCTTGTTCGGAACTGCAAGCCAAAAGGAAATATCTTGTCAAAAGCTGAATAAAAGGACTGTAATTTCTGCAAGTAAATAAAACACATATCAATTGGACATCAGACGACACGGTGATAGGGTGGTTCGCACTGTCACCTAACAGCAAGAGGACTGGAGGTTCAATACCAGGCCTGGGGCCTATCTGTTTGCATGCATTTTTCCTTTTTAAGCACAATTATTTTAGAGAATTTCAACATACCTGGTGTACTCTCACAAGTATCTGCCAATTCTTCATTGCCATGCCGACCTCTATTATGCCTCAGCATTGATGAAGTGCTCTTATTGATGTAAGATAGCTCTGTGTAGCAGAGCCGACACTTCACCTACAATAACATAAAGAGTTAATTTGTCTGAAAACAATTCAAACCAGAGCAAAAACTAAGGTGGAGCATTGCATTAAAAGAGATTCTGGCGCACGCACAGCAGAGAGCAGTGGACTATCGACTGCTGAGTCGCGCTTCACTCGAGTGGTGTTGCTACACATTCACTTGTTAAAAAAATTGACAGTGCAGCCCCTATCTCATGATTTCGAGATCAGTAGAGTATCTCATAATTACGAAATAAAATGAATAAAGCAACTGTAAGGTCATTCACTTGATAAACTGACAAAGTGAGTGCAATACGCCACCGTAACAATACACTATGCAACAGTAATCAATGCTCAAAGGAGAAAAAAGATTCACTGTACCTTCTTTGGCGTCACAAGATCTAAATTATTCCACACTGGGGAAAACTTCTTCGAACGATCCATAATCACACAAAACTCCATCCAACAAACCCACGACATGTTGATACAGTTTGTTTCCTGATAAACACACTTTGGCGCGGCAAATCCGAACGATTCATTTCCGGTATCGGTCACGTGATTCTTCCTCACAGCAATACACACACCGAGACGGGGTTTCACGCTTAAGCTCTCGGCACCGTGCTGACGTACCGGTGTCGCTCGTCCCATCACTAGTGAACAGTTCTCAACATGCCGCTTGATGGTGTTGAACTCTGTTGCGGGGGGAGACTATAAGTTTGTCATGCCTCAAGTAGTCACTTTCCCCTCTGTCACGTGCAGCTTTTAATTTTGGGAGGAGTCTTTTCTTTTTTGACACACGGCATTTGTAAAGTCTTCGTTAATGTAGATTATGGAGCCATTTAAATATTTTCTCTGTAGGATCCTTGTTCTGTCCTTGTATTTTTCACATTTCACAACAAATTGCCTCGGTCGAGGTCTCCCAGGTTTTTGTCATCCAGTGCGGTGAGCTCTCTCCACCTCAATTGTCCCCTGTATCTGCAGCTTCTCCTTGAAGATTTTTTGCACTTTTTCCTCAGTTTCAGTCCACGGTTCTCCTGATGTTTCCTCTATTCCATCATCTACACAGTCAGTCATTGGAAGAAATGGACAAACCCACCAACTCGTGAACTGCATTGTAGTAAGTTGCCCTTCAAACTTAAACAACTTTGGCGTGCTGAAGCTTACAAAATCAAAGCGAGGCAACACAGAAGAGCAAGGTTTGTCGACTTGGTGAGCGACATTGAGCATCAAGCAAAAGTAGTGACAGACCCCCTCTTTGGTGACATTCCAGACAGTCGCCCCAATCCCTTTGGAAAAAATAGCAATGAAAGACCCCCAGCCAAGAAAGAAAAATGTGGGAGCTTTGCAACGAATGTTTCCACAGGAAAGACCAAAGGAAAGAATGCGAAGTTACCGAACCCAGATAAAAAAAAAAAAAACAAAGCGCTTTTGACAAGCCACGTACCTGTATGTACTGTCAGCAAGCTCACACTCTAGCCACTCGCATCGAAATCAAGAATCAGCCATGCAAAGACCGGGCGGAGTTTTTGAAGATGAAAGGCAGGTGCTTTGGGTGCTTGGCTATGCGTCATATCAGTAAGTTCTGCAAGAAAAGAACAGAGTAGAAGGAATGTACTTTAAAACACCCGGACATCCTACACAAAGTTAAAGAAGGACACTTGGCCTCCCAGGAAAACAAGATTGATGCTCAAGAAGAATTAAGCCCTCAAGCTACTGTTGCACGAGAGGCCGCTTGGGGCTGGAGAAAGCGATTGTGTGCTGTCAATAGTACCAGTGAGAAACAAATTGAGAAAGAGTGACCAGCATGTCAAAACATATGTTTTTATGGATCCGGGAAGCACCACAACATTCATCACAGAAGACCTGCGCAAAAAAACTGAACGTGAAAGGGAAACCAACCCAAATACTCCTGAGTACCATGAGTCAAGATGAATCGTAAGGACCAACGTGCACACTTATGTGATTTCAGATTTGGAGTTGTGTGGCCTGGTAGAAAACAAATTCATTGAGCTACCCAAGGCGTACGTACACCCATAGGAGCATACCAGGGCACAATGAGAACATCCCCAAGCAATCAGAAATACGGAACTGGCCCTATCTTCGCGAAGTGCGAGTGCCGGAAATAAAAGCAAAAGTTGGCTTGCTTATCGGAGCAAATTGTTCAAGAGCATTGGAGCCATGGCACATTATAAACAGTCGAAACGGAGGACCTTATGCGGTGAAGACTGCTGTTGGCTGGGTCGTGAATAGTCTCATAAGAAAGGAACTACGAGGCAATGTCAACAAACATCCCAGCTTGGTGAATAGGATCACAGTGACGGAAATTGAAAAGCTACTGGTACAACAGTACAACGCTGATTTTCCGGAGCATAACTACAATGACAAGGAAGAAATGTTTCAAGAAGACAAGCAGTTGATGCAGTCTCTGAATCAAACAACTACCTTCGTGAATGGACACTGCTGCATTGGATTGCCATTCAAGAACGACAAACTGCCAATGCCGAACAACTGATGTCTGGTAGAACAGCGCATGGTTAGTTTGCACAAGAAGCTCAAAAAGGATCCAAGGTTCTATGAAGACGACAAGGCCTTCATGGATACCGTCATTCAAAAGGGATCTGCCATTCGAGCTCCACCTGATCAGCTGAACAGAGACGATGGCAGATTATCATACATACCGCACCATGGGGCGTATCACTCTAAGAAAAGATAAATACGAGTGGTCTTTGATTGTGCCGCATCTTTTCAAGACCAGTTTTTGAATAGTAGACTGCTACAAGGCCCTGACGTGACCACTACCCTAATTAGTGTCCTTTTAAGATTTCGGGAGGAGCCAGTTGCGATGATGACTGATATTCAATCAATGTTTTATCAGGTGAAGGTCCCTGAACACGACGCAGACCTCCAACGATTTCTTTGGTGGCCTGACGGCAAGTTGAACGAACCCTTGGAAGAGTTCAGAATGACAGTACATCTCTTTGGTGCAACTTCCTCACTGAGTATTGCATCGTATGCACTGAAAAGGACTGCAAAAGACAACCAAGTCACCAGAAGCTGTGCCGACAGCCCTGTACAATTTTTATGTCGATGACTGCCTGAAAAGTGTCGCAACCGAAGACAAAGCCTCGACACTGATGAAAGACCTTTGCATCTTGTTTGCTGAAAGAGGATTTACATTGACTCAATGGACAAGTCATAACAGAAAGGTACTTAAGTCAAGACCAGAAGAACACAGAGGTTAAAGGAAAAACATAGATCTCAGCTATGAAGCTCGATCAGTGGAGAGAGCGCTCGGCATACAGTGGGACACAGAAACAGATACTTTCGTCTACAGTATCAAATTGCCTGACAAGCCAATGACAAGAAGAGGAATCTTGTCAGTCGTTATTTCAATCTATGAAGAGCTGTGTCAAGAGCAACATCAATGAATGGGATGAAACCATCAGTAAAAGACATGAACGTTTGGAAGGGATGGAAAGATGATGTTTCACACCTCTCCAACTTCCATGTGAAGAGGTGTGTAAAATCTTCGAATTTTGGCCCTGTATTTTCAGCACAGCTGCACCACTTTTCAGACGCTGCAGAGTGTGCCTACAGTCCAGCGTCCTGTCTACTGTGACAGAACAAGCACAGACAGAAATGTTGTTCGCTCGTGATGGACAAGTCAAGAGTGGCCTCACTCAAATAGGTCACTATCCCCATACTAGAGTTAACTGCCGCAGTGGTCGCAGTGAAGACAGACGAGATGCTTTGCCAAGAAATCCAAGTTCCGTTCCAGCCATCTATCTTCTGGCCTGATAGCACTGCGGTGCTCAGATACATAAATAAGGATATTGCTCGTTTCAAAATCTTCATGGCAAACAGAAGAAACGTAATCAAAGAAGCCACCAAACCTTCTCAGCGGAAGTATGTAAGAACCACAGAAAACCCAAAGGATCTATCAAGCAGAGACATGAAAGCCAGAAACTTGACACGATCACAAACATGGATTGACGTACCAAGTGTCCTACTCAAAGACAAATGCGACTGGCCTGCACAACCCATGCAAAGAAAAGAAAAACTGCAAGACGATCCTGAGGTGAAGAACATGGCAACAGTTAATGTGATCAATGTGGAAGATGTCGCAGAACCAATGCATCAACTTATTGAGCATTACTCAGAATGGCAGAAACTAAAAAGAGATGCAGCCTGGATTTTAAAATTAAGAACTTTGCGACAACTCAAAGACGAAAGAAAAGCATAAGTGAACCATAATGAAAAGAATCCTTCACAGCGTAAGGCAAAATTGGAAAACAGCATAAAGAAATACAGAACTTACACGAGATGATTTGGTCGCTGCAGAGCTGGAGGTAATCTAGTACAGCCAGAAAAAAAGCATGGTCAATGAAGAACTTGAAGCATTACAAAAGGGAAGGCAAGTTAGTGTAATGCCAATTTGACATATAACAGTGCTAAATGGAAGTAACTCTTCGTACTATTGCATGCTGACCAGTTATTTTTAAATAAGCAAAGTTGCCTGCTCAGGCACCCGACTGCATTCTATGTAGCTGCTCAAAATGCTGATTGTGCTGACCTTTAGCCCTCCCAGCAAGATAAAACAAGAGCGCAAGACGCAAGGGGGAAGGCTCCCTTGACAGATCTGTGAACGTTGTCTCCATGTTTTTTTTTCTTTTTCTTTCTTGAGTAAATCTCATAAGCTTTTTCTAATACTTGTCTTGGTTTCCCTGGACAAGACATTCGTCGTAAGAGTCAGTTGTTTAAATTAGATCCCATACATCAAGAGAACATTTTGAGGGTTAGCGGAAGGCTCAACAAGTCAGCAATGCCAGAAACTGCCAACGCCCGGCAAACATATCGAAATACAGTAGTTGTTAAGACAAATCTCGATTGAACTTTTTCATTCATTTTAGGGCCAACCATCGTCTCACAAAGTTCAGTAAAATATGACTTGGGCCAACACAAGGGTTAGATAGAGAGAGAGAGAGACTCCTGTTTGATTCTTCTACTGAGGGTTAACTCCAAATAAGTAGTGAGGACCACCCTTTCTGTTAAGTTTAGACAACTAGTGTTATATTTGTACACTAGATGCTGCTTTTCCCACTTCAAATTCTTTGTAAAACCAAGCACTAAAAATTGCACTTGAAACTAAAGTCACAGTCGGAGTGAGGACTCTGGATGGGTACATGGGACTTGAGAATTTTTCCTCTCTTATTAACTTGCAATTACACATAGCAGACATTTTGTAATTTAATAAAAAATATTTGTACATCATGCGAAATAGTGCAGTAGTCTGTGTTTCATGAATAATTTGATAGTTTCAACTTCAGATAAGTAGAGTTCCTCGTTTATATATATCAATCACAACTTGGATCATTCCATTGCTGTACAATTACTACTACAATAAATTGACCCATGCTTTGGCCAATGAATTTCCATAAATAAATCAACAATGCTGTCAAACTTTATTTGAATATGATGTCAACATAAAAACTTAGCTCACGCATAACATTTTTAACCACACTGCTCAGAAGTGCTCTGGAAAAGTAGAATACAATTGAAAAAAATACTCCATTAAGGAAATAGAAAGTGCGTACTAAAGTGCAAATTTGTATCAAAGGGTAAACAAAGAGGTGCAAATCAAACCAGAGAAGTAAAATTG